GCTCTGACAATCAAAAATGATTTCAGACATTTCCAAATATCCCCGGACTTCGGGGGGTAGCGATAGGCAGAGTTGGCCTGGATGTCGATGTCCTCCACACCCGCGATGCGGCGGCTTAGAATAGAGCCCATGATGCTCGCGCGGCCGGAGCCGTGACGGGGGCGGCGGCGGCGGCGGGTCCTCACGCGAACATGGCCCAGAACAGGCCTCACGGACTCTCGCCCACAACTGCCTTGGCCTCCAAGCAAGACATATAGTTAAGCTCTACAAAATCAAAGACAAGGAGAGAATTCTGAAAGCAGGTAGGGAAAAGAGAAGTGTTACTTACAAAGGTAAGCAAATCATATTAAGCTCTGATGTCTCAGCAGAAACCATGCAGGCAAGAAATCCATGGGAAGACATATATAAAACCATGAAAGGAAAAGGACTACCAACCAAAAACTGTCTACCTAACAAAGCTGTCAATCAAATATAATAGTGGAATACAAACAGTCCCGAATAAACAGAAGCTAAGGGTTTTTGTCAACACCAACCCAGCACTTCAAAACATCCTAAAGAGAGTTCTTTGGACTGACAATCAACAAGAACAGAAAACAACCAGAGATTGACATAATTGACAGCACCATCCAGAACTCAGTTGACAGATGGAAGAATCCAGAACAGAATAAAACTGTAAAAGCAAATTCAGAGGATCTTGGATGTCAGTGTATGATCAAAACAATTGCAATGTGAAAGAAGACAAAAACACAGGAATAGAGATTCATGTGATGAGGAGGTCACGTAGATTGCAGGATAAAATGGACTGTTTTAAATGGATGAAAAGATTGATAGAATATAGAGTAACCTCAAAGAAAATTAATACCTCACAACATACCAAGACAATGAAAATCCAAGAAAAAATATGGAAACATTAAAACTACAAAGAAACAGACAGGAAATAACACAAAAAACATGAACCCAGCACAGGAAGAAATGCAGAAAAAACAAACCAGCAGCACCACAGAAAAACAAATATAATGACAGCAATTAATTCATACCTATCAATAATTACTTGAATGTCAATAGATTAATTGCACCAGTTAAGAGACAGAGAGTGACAGAATGGTTAAGAAAACAAGATCCTCCAATATGCTGTCTGCAAGAGACACACCTTACACACAAAGACAAAAACATACTGAAAGTTAAAGGGTGGAAAAAATATACCAAGCTAATTGCAATAAAAAAAGAGCATGAGTGGCAATACTAATCTATGATAAAATAAACATTAAGGCAACAGCCAGCATAATAGATAAAGAACATCATCTCATGATTAAATGGTCAATTGAACAAGATGACATAACCATAATAATTATCTATGCTCCCAATGAAATAGATAAAAAATATATAAAACAAACTAATTTATTTGAAGAAATAAATAGGCAAATCTATAATAATAGTGGGAGATTTTAGTACACTACTTTCAAAAAAGGATAGAACAACCAGAAAGAAACTTGACAAAGACACAGAGGACTTAAATAATACAATCAGCCAGTTGGACCTCATAGATGTGTAGAGAGCATTCAAACCAATAACAGCACAATACACATTATTTTCCAGTGCACGTGGGACATTCTCCAGAATAGAATATGTGTTGGGCCACAAAACAAGCCTCCATACATTTACAAACCTCAAAATATTACAAAGCATCTTCTCAGCTCACAATTCTATCAAATTAGAAATCATCAATAGGATGACCAAGGAAACAAAGTCAAGTACATGGAAACTGAATAACACCCTTCTGTAAAGTGACTGAGTAGTAGAAGAAATTGAACATAAATTCACAAAGTTCCTAAAAACAAATGAGAATGAAAACACGACATAGCAAAATATTTGGGACACAGCAAAAACAGTGCTGAGAGGACAATTTATTGCAATAATTGCACACATCCAAAAAGATGAAAAAACCAAAATTAACACCTGAACACAACATCTCCAACAACTAGAAACAAACCAGTAGAGTAATCCTACAGTCAAAAGAAGAAAATAAATAATATAGGTTAGGGCAAAAATAAACAAGATAGAAAGCAGAAAAACTATAGAAAGAATCAACAGGACAAGAAGCTGGGTCTTCAAAAGAATTAATAAAATTGACAAACCATTGGAAAAACTAATTTAAAAAAAAACAGGGATAAAACACAAATAACATGCATAAGAAACCACATTGGTGATGTCACAATAGAATCAATAGAAATAAAAAGGATAATAACAGAATATTATGAAGAGCTGTACTCCAACACATTTGAAAATCTAGAGGAGATGGATACATTTTTAGAAAAGCACGACCTACCTAAACTTACACAAAGTAGAAAACTTGAACAGACCTATAACAAAAGAAGAAATTGATCAGGTCATCACAAAACTCCCAACGAAAAAAAATCGAGGTCCAGATGGCTTCACTGGTGAGTTTCACCAAATGTTCAGGGTGAAACACATCTATAGTTAGAATGGATAACTTCCTAATACATTCTATAAAGCAAGCATAACCCTCTTACCAAAACCAAGGAAGGACATCACTAAGAAAGAAAATTATAGACCAATATCCGTCGTGAACATAGATGTAAAAGTTCTCAACAAAGTCCTAGCCAACAGAATTCAACAACACATCCAAAAAACTAATAATAATACATCATGACCAAGTGGGATTCATATCAGGAATGCAAGGATGGTTCAATATTAGAAAAAGTATCAATGTAATCCACCATATAAACTATAAAAAAAGAAAAAGAACCACGTGATCATATCGATTGATACAGAAAAGGCATTTAACAAAATCCCACATCCATTCCTGATAAAAACACTCAACAAAGCATGAATTGAAGGGAAATTCCTCAACATAATTCAGAGCATATATACTAAACCAACATCCAACATCACTCTCAATGGAGAGAAACTGAAATTTTTCCCTTTGGAAACAAGAACCAGACATGGACGTCCTTTATCGCCACTCCTATTCAATATTGTGTTGTACGTCTTAGCAAGAGCTATAAGGCAAGATAGGATAGGTCTTCCTATATTTCAGAAAAATACTTGACTGTTTTCTTGAGCTGCCCTTTGAAATTTTCTGTTCAGGTCTTTTAACTTTTTTCCTGCATTTTCTTTAACATCTATACTCTGGAAAACAAAATTTCAGTCTGTTTTGACATCCATTTTGGTCTTTTCTTTCTTTACTGTCTTCTTAATGACCTTTTGTTTTCTTCCTCTGGAATGTTCTTGATGTCATCCCACTGCTCTTTGATCATTAGAGT